CTCTCTCTCTCTCTCTCTCTTTCTTTCTTTCTTTCTCTCTCTCTCTCTTTCTCTCTCTCTCTCTCTCTCTCTCTCTCTCTTTCTTTCTTTCTTTCTCTCTCTCTCTCTTTCTCTCTCTCTCTCTCTCTCTCTCTCTCTCTCCTTCTCTCTCTTTCTCTCTATCCCCCCCCTCTCTCTCTCTCTTTCTCTCTCTCTCTCTCTCTCTTTCTTTCTTTCTCTTTCTCTCTCTCTTTTTCTCTCTCTCTCTCTCTCTCTCTCTCTCTCTTTCTTTCTTTCTCTCTCTCTTTCTTTCTCTCTCTCTCTCTCTCCCTCTCTCCCCTTCTCACTCTCTGTCTCAATATCCTCTCTCTATCACACACTATCCTTTCTCACAGTCATTTTCCTCTCTCTCACTGTCCTCTCCCTCTCTCTCACTGTCCTCTTCTTCACTCTCACTGTCCTCGCCCTCTCTCTCCTTGTCCTCTCCCTTTCTCCCGCTGTCTTCTCTCTCACACACTATCCGCGCTCACTGCCCCTCTCTCACTCTTACACTCCACTTTTACACTCATGTGCACAAGCTGCTCTCACTGTTTCACTATTATTTTATTTTGCGCCATCTCCTCGCTCGAAAATAGTTTCACTAGTAATAGTCTTTTATCAGAGATATCTGAAATAACAACTCGTGTGTGAATCTATGAATAGATATATACTATGAGAAGTTCCATATTATATCTACTTCTGATATTATCATGCTATAAACAAGCTGTTCCGTTGAGGTTTCTGAACGCTTAAAACCCGGATGTTGGGATTCAAGCTCTATGAAAAATCAATGTGAAACGGTATAGCGCGCGTGACCGCAGCTGCATAAAATGTCTCGCCGCAACAGAACGCGTTCGGAACAATGTTTCGTTCATGCAGGTGATGCTTGAATAAAGCATCCGTTGTAAACGTCCACTTTTTATCACCAGGGTGCGCTTAATACGCAGGACTAAAAGCCACAATTTTATAGCTTAGTAAACACTGTTTGCAACACTGCGGCCATGTATTATATATACTAGACCGTAGACTGTAATGTCATGGAAATAAAAACATGAATAAATATGGTGTCGTTACAGCCGTGCAGCTATATTCTACGTGAAATCTTTGCGTTCAACTTATTTCTTCACGTTTCTCCAGATATTTTTTGCAACGTTGGTAAACCGCCTTCTCCACAATGCACGAGCCGCCATATACACAACCCCAACTATAAATTCACATTCCAACTAGTGAAGATTGTTTATTTAGGTAGGGCCATGTGCTATTAACGAACAGACCGCACACGGACTGCTCGCTATAATGGCCTATTAAATCCGTCTCACAACTCATGTGCATCTACTATAGACTGACGCATATATATGTATATATATATATATGCAGTTTTGTGGATTTGCTGCCAATATTCTTCTAAAAAAGTCGACGCCATACTTAGGTCGAATCATCGAGTAGAAACGCAAAAACAAAAATGGAAAAATAATAAACGAGTCAAAGTATTTCAGAATGTTTACATTCTGGTTAGTAATCTCTACGAGACGTGTCCGTACGATACGGTACTGTCCTTCAGAATCGCATATATATATATATATATATAGGCCTATATAGTGCGGAATAGCACAGACTCGGGCATAGAAGCAGAGTGGCCGCAAAATAACCAAAATAACCGATGAGTTATTTGGGTGGAGGAGGCGGCAAAGGGTTCTCTATGGCGATGGGACTACATCTGGGTTGAATGAGCCCCGCTCTACACTAACAAGGTTTCATTAATAGTTCATAAGTCCATAGGTCTGCGAGAGATTATATTGTTTTCCAACGCTTGCTGTACACTAACAGGGGCTCCATCAACAAAACAACACAAACACAACTCAACACAACATAACACAACACAAACACAAC